CGTCATGCCTTCTGTACAGACTGGAGCTTCCGAAACGTCGGCACAGATCTCAAAAGACCCTGTACCCTCGTATAAAACACTTTCTGGTACGAAATTCACCCATGCCTCTTCTTCAGATGTTAGGTTATCACGGCGGTAAAACTTTTTGAGTTCTGAGACCAGCGGTTACCGACGTTTCGGCCGAAGTTTCTAGAACTTTCCACACGTTTAGAGTCTGTCAGTCTGTTACGGAAACTGGTGGGCGCGGAACCATCGATTGTCAGAGAAACTCCTGGCCTTTTCTGAAATCGTAAGATTCATTACCGTGATAACAAAAGGACGGCTTGGAAGCGGTCAGCAGCGTTCCTGGGTCCGCCCTCTTCACTGTCGCCGACATTTTGCAACCTGTGGCCCGGAAATGAGAGAGCTGCTCACCTCCAGACTGGACCGGCATGCAAGGCCGTGCCGCGGGTTCAAGTCCCGGCAGGCGTATTACGTCACGCACTGAGTGCGGGCGGAGGGGGAAGGGGCTATAAGGAAATCGCTCGGACAGCCACGTTTCCTTCCCAACATCACAAAGTCACCCCACAAACACGCTCCTTGTGGCCACTTCATTAACTTCATCGTAGGAAACGGATGTCGTATGTTTTGATTAATTTTATACCCGGGAAGGAAAAAAATTGGTGGCTGATAATAACATGCGTCCCCCGTCTTCAGTTGTCATTCGGTGGGCAAAACACTGCCCTTCAGAAATATTCGCTTTATTTTCTACGAAATAGCCAGAAGAACAGACGATACGCGGTTTCTACGCGTCTCTTCTTGTAATCGCGGGTTAGGCTAACCACTCGCTCGCTGCATCTGGGATTGTGGAAACCGGACGGGACAGAGAAAGTGGCTGTGGTGTGGGACTTTCACGGGCTCCTTGTAGGTCAAACCGGCGAATCACCCAGCGCCTACTACCCCACACCCCAGCATCAGTGGTTCGGATCTCGTCATGCCCCACCATTTCAGCGCCGAACGCGAGTTCACGGAAGAACGATCTCTTTCATCCAAATTCCTTTCCGATCCCTTCCGCATCTCCTCGTCTCGCGGAACTTCTATCTTGCATCCTTGAACAGAAATCGCTTTGACGCCCGCAGTGATTACCGGAAACATTTTACACGAGGAATCTGTCTTCGTCCCCAATTTTTGAAGGAACGTTCTCCTCGAATTGCTCGTTTTTTGTCTGCGAGAAAACCTAACCTAGGGCTCAGTGTTTGTGGCGTCTTTCAACGACACGCTCCTGGGTTGCCATAGAAACACACGAGCGCGAGTCCTGGCTGCTGAGTCGCAGGGATTGGCTCGGGCGTGGCCAAGGCCAAAAGCGGTTGCCCAGAGGCGACGTCCGGTAGTCCGAAGGGAAGAACCGATTGGTATTTGCGTTCCAGGTTTTTTTGCCGCTGAAATTTGGGAATTGGAACCTCGGAGCGAGTCACTTTCCAGACGTTTGCTGGAAATCAGACGGGAAGACAAAATATTTTGAACTGAGAAGTAGCAAGCATTTCCCGAATTTAATCTCCTCCTAACTTCCCCGTGAGTCACGGCCAATTCATAACCTGCGTGATCGTTGATCTAGAAATGTTGATCCCGCGTTTCGCAGTCCAATCCTTGATGCTTTATGATCCACGGCGCTTGAGATGGCTCCCTCGCCCCTTCCGGGTCTCCCACTGAGGCTTTATTCTCATGGCCTTGTTTCCGTCGGTCTCTCGACTCGCATCTGCTGACATGGGATTGTATCGCTCGCTCTATCCGTGGCTTCAGAGTCCTGTTCTGTCCTGGGTGTGACGCGAGGCTATGACGTCATTTACTAACCCATGCGGCATTACCAGCTGATCGGGGCAATGACCTCCCGCTCGCCGATGTAGTAAGCCATCTTTGTCAAGGTTTACAAAAACATGCCACACAAATTATGCGACCTTTGTTGCAGAACCGGGCAGTTAACAAACAAATTTTGGAAAAAGAAGGTTACGCCTTTTCATAAGCATAAAATTTTCGAGTTCTTCTCTCTCTGTAGAAGTAAAAGTGCGTAAGAGCTTACATGATTAAGGACTTTCCTGCCTAAGTTACACGTTTATATAAACCAAGAGCACAATACGTCATTTAAATTTATCAAATGAACGCGAGAATTACAGTTGGGAACAGTCACAAAATCTCAAAGTCGTTCTAACGCATGCGCAGATCGGGCCTACATCACGCTGTTGGTCCCCGCGATTGACTGCGATTCTTTCATGTGACTGATGCGTACAGTCATCTCTGCTGTTATGCGATAGTTGCATTCATGTAAGACGCTGACCTATAGAAAATCGCGTAGTAAAAATAACCCTGGTATCTCTGCAGAGATATGACAACGCACCCCAGAGTATCTCCTTCCACGTCTAGTGAACGTCGCCCATGAAAATCCATCACCGGATTTGAAGCCGGAAATACGTATACATGATAATGACATAAACAGTTACAAGGGATAATTACTTTATCGTACATGTAGCAGGATGCTCTTGTGTGATTTAATAACCTGCACATCTGGTCCCGTCGTGGTAAACCTCGTTCGTTGATGGGTCAGCTACTGTCTCGCGTTAACACCGGAAATGGCGTTTACGTATTTCAGTTGTTATACGAACACCGAGAGGGTTGTTTGTAGAGTTCACTTCGTTGACCGAGATGTAACACCACATCTTGACTGTAGGAGCATTGAACAAAAAAAAATAGGGCTTTTAGGATGATGAATATGATAAAAGATTGTTTAGACTGTGGTAAATTTTAAAGAGTCGATAAAATTAGGCCTCTAATCTGAATTTTTAACATCCATCGATTACGGCTCTCGCTTGTTTCACGCGTAAATAAACATTTTAAAAATTGTTTTTGTCAAATAATATCATGAGTAATATGTGAACCTGTTTGCAATATTAGGCTTTATTCAGTATCATTTTTAACAAATTGCCACGAAGTTTCAGTAAGCTAGCCTAGTTTACGAGGTGCGATCGGAAAGTTTCAAGACTGTGTCAATAGCGGGCGAACCGGATGTAGTACGAGCTTCTGCCGCTAGGGGGCGCGGCCTACCTTCATAGTGAATTAGTGTGCCAGCCGGCATCATCGAATTAGCATTTGTTTCTTAGTTACGGGCGTTTTGGTAGTGCATTACACCGACCCTCCTGCGATTTCGGACTGGCGTGTGCATCAAATTTTGCCAAAGCCTCGCCAAAACGGCTACGGAAACCTCTGAAATGCTAAAGCAAGCATTTGGGGAGTCCGCAATGGGTCGTGCACAAACTTTTGTGTGGCATTAACGTTTTAAAAATGGCCGAATCTCTGTCGATGATGACGAGCGTTCTTGACGACCATCTTCGAGCACAACGCCCGAAACTGTTACGAAGATCGACGTCGTACCATCAACGACTTGTGCGACATTGTTGGGATAGGCTATGGGACCTGTCAGCTGATTCTAAAGGAAGAACTCCACATGCGACGCATCGCAGCCAAGTTTGTGCCAAGGCTCCTGTCTGAGGACCAGAAGCAGAATCGACTTCTCGTTTGTCAGGAGCTCAAAGATCTTGCAAGAACCGACCCCAACTTCCTTTCTAAGGTTTCCTCTTCCCAAAGATGAAAATTCAGCTAAAGGGAAGGAGATTTGAGACGATAGAAGAGATTCAGGCAGAATCGCAGATGGTGTTTGCCAGGCTGACCAAGAAAGATTTCCAGGGATGTTTCCAGGCTTGGCAGCGGCGCTGGGATCGTTGTGTTCACTCCCAGGGGAACTACTTCGAGGGTGATGGATGAATTTAATACCTGAGATAAGTGTACAGGTTTTTATAGGCGCAGTCTTGAAACTTTCCGATCGCACCTCGTACCAACACACATTCATAAAACATTAAATACACAATACATATGCATATTTTGCAATTGTTTATTCAGTTCTACTCATTATTCTAGACTATTTTCACATCATATAAATAAATAACTTACAGATGAACAGTGGGGTGTACCCTGATGTAACAATGCCATGTTTTAGAGGTGAAGTACAATCCACCATCTGACAGACTTATCGCTTATAAATGAGGTACAGTGGATTTCTCAACACAGCAATGAAAATCCCTCTACTCAATCCAGTTAGTGGTAGAAGACAATTTTAAAGGGTAGTGACGATGGTGACATACGATCGGGACCACTGAATTCTTTGAGTATGTCCATGTGTTTTCAGGTTGTCCGGTGATTGAGATTAGCTCTTTCTATCGGACCCAACTGAGTAGGCGCCCCTCCTCACTTTTTAACCTGAGGACGGAAGCAGATCCAGCTTCTGAAATGAAGTGTTCTTTTTAAAAACACAGACAATGGACATAATCAAAGAATTTAGTGATCGTGATAGTTGTAGCCATAATTGACCCACTTAATGATTATTAACATATTTAATAAATTCATTGGTTTTATGGAATATGGGGATCCATCACTCTGTTCACAAAAGTACCCGAGTCAACCAAATCGATTCCACACCTTCACGTCCTGCCTCTAGTACCCATTGTTCCTTAATCTAAGCCTAGGTCTCTAAAGAGGTGTCCTTCCTTGATGGTTGCCATGCCCTCTGGCCTTGTATGTGCTACAAGTCCAATCCAGGTCATCCTCCTTGATTTAATCGCCTTACCAGTATTAGATTGATACAAATTTTGAAACTCATGTAATTTTCTATGTCTGTTACCATCTCTAGACTTGGCTGTATGCTTCCAGGCCAAGCTGTGACATCTTGGAATTAATATACAACAAATAAGTCAAAGTAGAAGACACTTGCAGTCTCTCAATACATATTAATTCTTCAGAAATATTTAAATGCCCATCACATATCTGTAACTTAAACGAACTAAATAATTTCAGAATAAGTCAGATCTTTTAGTAAGATAATATGAAGGGGCATCTCCCTGACAATTCAGAACACAACGGCTGTCATCACATACATCTTGAGAGACACATTCAATGATCACAACAGTAACACTTTACCAACACATGGATGGCAACTCTGGTACTAAAGCCAAGGATGAATACTGATAACATAAATGCTGGCCACTGTGCCCTATTTGAGCCACAAAAGTTAAAAAATCCCCTTCTCAAGGCTCCGCATTAATATCACCATCCCATCTGTTGTTTCACAAATACCCAAGCGGTCCCTTGCAAGGAAGCCCGCATGTACACGTCCTATTCTACTGTAAGAAGAGAACAGAGTGAGCATTCATGTACTTTCTAGTCCTTTGCTGTATTCACCTTCCTTGGACAAAAAATATATTTTTCAAGAGCACTTTTCTTAATTTAAAAATATTTTTAATATGGTACTCTGCAGGTGTAAATGAGAACCACAAGCACCTAGAATTGTTTTACATTTCTTAAACCTCATCACTCTGAGAAGTAGAGGAGATGTTAGCACCTTTGGGATTTAATAACAAGAATTTTGCAGACTGTGACAATTCTTCCATCTTTTAGGTACCTGAACATATCTAGAATTATAAATTAACCTTTAATCTCCTATAGCCAGTATTCTGGCCACTGCATATGGACTTCACTGATGTATATGGCCAGAATTTACATATAAATTTAAATACCCACAAAGGGAACTCAGTCTAGACAAGTTGTACGTTGACAATTTAAAAGAGTAGAATTAGGTTAACTTCTGCCTAATAATTACAGTACGTTACAGTATCATAGAAAACTTGTTTTGTTTCTACAACTTTCCCAAATGTTTAATATGGGGGCATAATGAAAAGAAACATCCAGACCTTGCAGGAAATCCGTTGGGCAAAATTGTTAAATTACACGTTGATATATTAAAATATTTATTCAAACACCACAAGCACCTTTCTTCTACAATTTGTACGTAATAGTACCAAACGCATGTCGCAGTCTGGGATCTGACTTGAACTTTGCCTTTTCTTGCATCTGGACATATGAACTGTCGAGTGTCAAGCTGCTTGCTTCTTTATTTGCAAAAGGCTTCCATTGATTTGGGTCAACCTGAACTTGGCTAGTTTTTTTTATGCCATGCTTTATGTAAAGCATTTTATTTATTCAGCAGTTGAGAAGCATTCTACGTGGTAGTGCTTCTCTTATGTGCGTACGCCACTCAAAACCGAGCATACAAAAGAAATGTCATTTTGGACAGCATCAGCACTGTTCAGGCTGTTAAAATTACAGCAGAAGCAGTTTCAATTAGCTCGCGCACTGGCAACTTAATTTATCTGAAACACTGTCACTGTGCCACTGTGTAAAAATACCAACATTTACTTGTGATATTATTAAAGTGGAACAATGAAACTTCGTGTATGTGACGTCAACATTTCCTCCATGCGGGGGTGGAGAAGAATAACCCCACCATACCCCTGTGTGTCACAAGAGGTGACTAAAAGAGGAAACCTTGTGTCTGGGATTCAGCTGGGCCACATATCTCTGGGGGAAATAAATTCAGAGGCTTGGTCCTCCAGGGTGGATGCTGGGCTAACAACCTAATGTAACCTAAAAACACACTAATGAAATCTAAGAAAGTGACAGTCAGACTGACCTCTTTAAAGCAGAATGACAAACAAACAAACAAACAAGCAAGCAAAGGATTTGAAAACTGGATCATGGAATGTACTATCCCTGTACTAACCCAGAGTGATTCAAATGCTGCTTGAGTAATTACATGCAATATTAAATCAGAATTCAGGCAATGTTATATGAACCCCTATTCATATGGAACGGAGGTGCTTCAGGATGTCGGCTGTTTAACACAGCACTTGAAAAGGTAATCAGACATGCAATAATTAATACAAGGAGCAGCATCCTTTATAAACCAGTGCAGATGTTTGCATATGCTGACAACACAGCAAGGAGATGAACTTGCAAATTAACGAAGAGAAAACAAAATACACGCCAGTAACCAAAAAGGACGGCAGGCATGGCCCTTCCCACATAATGGAAAATTTTGAAAACAGAGAACTGGAAAGATAATTAGCCAATGATATAAACGTACTGGGATGACCTCAGTACTCTTTGACAGCATGATACAATTATGGAATAAAATTATGGTGTTGTGTGGGATGCAGGTGTGATCCTGGAAGAAACTCCCTCCAGATCTAGATGATAATGATTTGCAGGGTTAACCTAATGAAGCAATCAGCAAGCCAAAATTCTTGGCATGTTGTGCGCTATGAGAAGTTTTGGAAACATCAATGAAGTTAACACTGAAGAATGGATATACAGTAAAGTGGGTTTCCAGCACATGACAAACAGACAATGCCAACGCTGCCACAAAACAGAACAGATAAGAAGAGTGTGGGGAGAATGAGAGCAGGATTCATACTGTTGTGAGGAGTATAAACGGTTCATATGAACAAGAAATTGTTACAAACCGTTTCTCAGTAGCCACAGTGAAGTAATGCTTTCTACAACAGAAATGATAAAAATCCTAGCGATGGAAGAGAATTATGTAGAAAGAAGAAATACTTCAGTCCTTACATTCATGCTCAGCTGTTTCCACTTGCTTTAGTCAGCAGGTCACGCACGGCCTGCGCCACATTCTCTCTCTGGACCTCAATTTCATGACGAGTCACAACATGACGCAGCTTTACAATTCCTCTTGCCAGTTCTGACTCACCCAAGATGGCTGCCAAAGGAATGCCCATTTCTTCACAGTACTGCAGCTGTGCCAACAACTTGGGGTTGCGTTTGTATGAATGCTCTGCCTGTAACGATCACAAACACAAAAATAAGCATTATGAAGTTTATCAACATTTCAAAGGTACTCTGACCTCTGAAATACTGGTAACCTTCTACCACACTACACGGCGGTAAAACTCTTCATACTCACCGCCGTGAGAACCTAAAATCCTACATAAGGCATTATAATGGCACCTCCAATTCTATTTAAACTTCGTGAAGATAACGAACTCAAACCATGAAAAACACTGAAGCAAATACAACTCCAGATTCAGGAATGGTTGAGAACACTGTGGGAATATTCACTCTTCAGCAACAACACAATCTGTGTCACTCGAGTACTCGTGAATTTAAATTCCATGATCTAGATGCATGTACAGATTTAATTAGAATTTAAACAATCTCGAAGTGCTACGTGTTACAAAACACAGTGCCTTTATTGCATTTTTTATACAAAAACTTAAAACAAAAACTCTATTACTGAGAATGAACCCATTTACCTGCACAGTGTCTTTATATTTTTAATTATTCCAATCTTTTCCATATTTTAATCAAATAGTCTTTAAATTTAACCTCATACCACACATTCACAGTGGTAGAAAATCTTGTAGTCAAATGTACTTGGCTTAGAACTGTAAAGATGGCAGATGGTCCATATCTGGAATGAAACCCTTTAGCAGACAATCACATCACACAAATGAACAATCTTCATCAAAAGTTTATTTTGGCTGCGACTCAGTCTGCTCCATTAGTGTCAGAAGCCAGAGAAACATATTTCATTTGAACGAAAGGCTTGCTTTCTATCGCAGGAAGTAAATTTCATCCCAGTCCCTCTAATGCGACCCAGTTCATCTGAGAATTTGAATCAGCTTGGAATGTGTGAGCTACGCAGTGAGTTCAGGAAATTATTGTTGAAGTCAGTGTTCCTACTGTTATTCATGCAGCCGTGCAGTCAGTCCAAAAATACCTTCATACTGTGTGTCGAGGCAAGAACAGTTTGTATGCGCAACAGCTTAGAGTTCAAGACTCAGGAAACAGACCTGAAGGGAGCTGACCCGACGAACACAGCGAAAATGACCAATGCCCCACACAAAAAATGTGATTAGGATGATAACAAGATTATACCACCCCATCTGCATTCAAAGGGGTGTTCAAGTTGGGGCAACTGAGAGACTGTTCAGACAGGGTTGTCCATCAGTTGACTGGTAATGTACCTGGCAGAAGACAGAATGTGGCACCCCGGAACAGCGTAAAAGGAAAAAGTGAAGTCATATAAAAAGTACAGCCCGACCACAAATCCCCACCCGCCCGACTACCACAGCAGGGTGCTACTCCTAGACCACTGCTGAACAGCGAGCATTCACAGATGGTGGGAGAAACTTTTCCTTGTATTTCTATGGCTGTTTCTGAATGTCAGGCACATTGCTTTAAAATTTCACATCATCTGAGGAGTTGTATACCAAAAGTTTAATGCCTGTATTGTATCTGGACAAAGAGTAATGACTATTTTCATATCCCAGGAACAGTGCATCTATAAATATTACTAACACACGGTCTATTAAGGACATAGCACAAAGTGATACCCTGTATACTGCCCCCATATTCTGCTGTAACATATGGTCAAACTGTGTGGAGTACATAAATATTCTGTTATACAACCATGTTTTGTTACGTTAGATGACACAACATGACAGTTCATTCTTCGGTGTTTGGTTGCTTACGTTACCTTGATGTTGGAGTCCCACAGCTCCTTGCAGAGTTTCATCCTGTCCTCCAGAAGGTTCTTCTGGGCGGACGCCACAAACACCTCAACCTCTGTTGTTCGCACCTTGGTCTTGTTGCTGGCGAGGCGTGCCTCCAGCACCGAGAACACGCGTTCCACGCCAATGCTCACGCCGACACAGGGCACATTCTTGTGCTTTGGGTCAAACATCCCCACCAGGTTGTCATAACGACCACCACCTGCAATGCTGCCAACTCCACTACTCTCCCCATGTTCAGTCTTTGTGTCACCTGGTGAAGAGAACCAATGCTTCACATCGTTAGCAAAGAAGAATATCAATAAAATCTTCTAGGGCAATCAGCCGCGTTAACTGACGTTTCGGGAACAAACTCTGTCCCCATCTTCAGGGTTCTGATGTGACTGGATCCTCGGAAGTCGCCTGTGTAACAGGCGAGAGGATCCAGAGTTTGTTCCCGAAACGTCGGTTTACTACGGTAACCAGTTAACGCAGCTCATTGCCCGAGGAGATTTTATTGATTGTACTCGCCGCAAAAGTTTCAAAAGAAGAATATGTTTGTCACGTGTGAATTAGACAATATTTGCCCAGCTGCTAAAATTAAGATATCATTACAACAGTTCATCCTATGCCACCTTTTAATCTTCAAAACTCCATTTGTATCAAAGACATTAACTTTTTATATGCAGTTACATTTTATTTCTGCTGCTTAAAAGAGCAAAAAAAAAAAAAAAAAAAAAAAAAGAAAGAAAGAAAGAAAGAAAGAAAGAAAGAAAGAAAGAAAGAAAGAAAGAAAGAAAGAAAGAAAGAAAGAAAGAAAGAAAGAAAGAGGGGAGCATCTGGATGGTTCGTAATCCATCTTAGATCAATTATATCTGCATTATCAGTGTTATATACTGTTTATTTAAGCCCCTCAGAACAGAACCTGATCAACTAGTTGTTATCGCACTTACGTCAATAAGCATGAGATCTGTATTGGAAAAACATGTTTTGATCTGTATCAGAGCAGCATCAGTGTCCTATATTAATGCACATATCTGTTATAATAGCATTGTACTGGTCTGGTTTTCTTGTATGACCTACTGACATTAACATTACATTTTTATATACACTACAATTTAGTACATTACGCAAAGAAAAGAGTCAATTACTCTGAAAATATTACACGAAGCATACAAATTACAAATTATGTAGGTTTCATTAATGTAATTTTCTCCACTCCTATTTCTTTATTTTTCTCAACATTGCGAATCTTAGAAGGAAAGAACTGATGATATTGAGATTTACACTGGTGAATACTGAAACATTCAGGAGGAACTTAGTACACTCACTGAGTAAGACAGCCTCATAGATGACGCCGGTGTAGTAGTCAAGCCCACGGGCCAAGCTGAGGTCAAAGCTGACCTGATCCTGCAGCCCATAAAGTGTGCAGTATTTGAGGAACAGTCTCAAGGCTTCCAGTCCATCACGAGCGCTCTTGCACTGACCTACGAGCATTTCATCCTGCAACAGCTGTTCTACCAACTCTGTCTTGCCACTCAGACGCACATATTTGCCGATGCAGTCTGCCACAGCGGGAGACAGACCCTTCTCATTCACCATTTCATTGTGCACCTCCTCCCAAGGAGACTGCAAAGAAAGTAACTGTAAGCACCTGGATAGCATGTGAACTCACATGTCTACCAACTCTGTTCAACATACTGAATAGAACTTATTAGTCACCGAACAATTATGTACATGCAGTTTCTCAATTAATGAGAAATACAAATGGCCTCAGCAGCCATGAAGTGCCTAAATGCAACCACTACTACCACCACTGACACTTTAATTACAGTTTATAAAATAAATGCTACTGAACATTATACTTGAATGGTAGGCAATCATACATACTTCATATTCAGGAAGTCCTGTGCTAAATTCTTAACTCAGAGACTGCATATTAAAATAGGTATTTCTTGCATCCTCCATCACTCCAAGTAATGGGATAACGGCTCAAGATAGCTCACAATAATCCTACTGTCCAACACTCCGCAGCTAACAAGCAAGTCATTACATAAACTAAGAAATGGAAAGACGGAAACTTCAACATACCTTATCCAGCTTATCAACAGAAGAGCATATTGTGCGGAATTTGTCTGGCGGAACACCGCACGCCTCAAACAGCCCATCCAGTAGCTGTCGATGGTTGACCTTGATGAGAAAGTCTCCCAGTTGCAAGGATGTAAGGATTTCACTCACAACACGGACACACTCCACATCTGGGATCATGGGGTCATACTGACCAGCTATGTCAAAGTCCTGCCAACATTGTAAGCTCAGTGATAACACACACCACCTGCTGAATTAACAGTGACTCCAGTTTTAAGATTCCAAACAGATTCTTTGCAATTTTATATCATTCACTAGTCTTATTCATAGGCTGTCCAAAAAGATGTATTCACACATTCAATGAATGAATTAAATAGTCCTACTTCAGGGAACTCTGGGTTCCCCTTGAACCGAGGGGTAGCAACCTGCAATTGTCCCTCTACCAGGGTCACGGTAGATGGCATAGGGCAGCAGCTATGTCATTACTGGGGTGAGGCTATTGAAGAATGACTTCCCTAAAGGCCTGTCACCAGATATTCACAGGCGACAATCACATATTGATTGTACCGTTTGTGATACTGCGATGGAGAAGGCAACGGGAAACCACTCCATTATAATTCCCTAGTGCAATCAAGCATGGCAGAATATTCGGAAAGAGGGGCCCTGGCAGGCCAAGAATCTCCTGGCTTCAGAACCTAAAAACTTGGTCCTCGACGTCCACTGGAGGGCTGTTTCAAGTAGCGGCCAGTAAAGCTCAAATTGCTATGCTGATCGCCAACATCCGGAATGGATAGGCACTTTAAGAAGAAGAAGAAGAAGTGTAGGTGTTCAAAATGACCACTGTTAGCTTCGTGGCACAGATGACAGTGGTGAGCAATTGACTAAGAAGCAGCCACCAAAGTTGGTGCTCAAGACTGTTTAATTTCTTGCCAGAGCTCTCAATGTGTTGCTGGCTTTGTGCTGTACACAGCATCCTTCAAGTAACCCCACAAATAAAGTCAGGTGGGGTTAAATCTGGCAATTGTAGGAGATATTCAACAGATCATCTGCTTCATATCCATAAAATTAGACTGAGAAGGTGTATTCTATATTGGAACACATGCAAGAGTTTGAATTATTAACAAAAGATTATGTTATCTTAATTACACAACTTTAGTTTCAAACTGTACAAATCTTGGTCTTACAGTTTTCTTTAAGTACCATAAATCAAAGTCACTTCAGCTCTGCTGTAGCGTACTAGACTTGTATTCATGAATCAAGTCATTTTTCTTCATTCATGAAGTTGCCATGTTGTTACCTTACACTGTACAAAGAATTAATGTATCAAAGTTTTGTATTTTCGAAAAACCAATTTACCATGCATCATTGTATGGCCCTATTACAAAATATTTATATTACATCACTGAAAAAGGAATATTTATATCAACTGCATTACAAATGATTTTTAACTTTTCACACTTAATTTTTTAATAAACAATTTGTCACACGACTGTAACTTTGAATCTGATTGTGTTGCCACCTACTGAGCAAGTTATTTACACTAAAAAGGTCCTCACTTACGCATTGATAGAACTCCCGATATCGTCCCCGCATCATGGCCGGATTGTCGCGCCTGTACACTTTGGCCATATGATACCGCTTGATGTTGCTGATCTTGTTCATGGCAAGATAGCGAGCAAACGGCACTGTGAGATCATATCTCAATGATAGGATCTCTCCACCTTGATCAGCAAGATCATAAATCAACTTGGAGTCCTCGCCATACTTTCCAGTCAGAACTTCCTGCACACACACCAAACCAATTCATGTTTAAATTAAGTCTTCTCAGGCTATGAGCCATGCTCTCCTAGCCCACAAAAACAATCTCAAATCATGTCAGTCATTTCCAATTAAAGACAAAACTCTGCACAATTTATGATCAATTTGTTTCAAAATACATGACCCACACAAAACAACAAATTGAAATACTGGTATGAGAAACACGTGTATGTTACAACCAATAAAATGAAATCTTCCTTGGTAAGATTTCAGGCTCTCATGTGTCTCATAGTTGTCTTCTGGGATGTTGTGCCTTGAGTGCATTCTGGAAGACGCTGACTAATGTTTCAGAGGAGCCCACTGCCTTCATCATGAGGGTGGTAAATAGGAAAGGTGGATAAGATATAGAAGCATGTTGGACAAGGCACAGCCCTGACCAGAATGGGATAAGTGGGGGCCAAATAGGAAATACAGAACAGAATTAAGAAACATCAAAACAGCCATTTATAGCCAAGACAAGCAGAGCACATAAGCCGTAGTGCAGCAGTTTCAAACACAGGACTTGAATGTTACCTTCACAAAATATTTGATCTTCATATATTATTTCTTCTGCTCACATCATCTTATTTCATATGACTGAAATTCTTGTCATCGTATCATCAATGGACTATCACAATTTTCTTGTAAAATAAAAAGTAAAGTGAAGCTGCCACAATACACGCCATGTAGGCACTTGGGGGGGGGGGGGGGGGCACAGAGCTGGTCTGGACGCAGCGGCTAGAGGAAAAATCCTCTGCCCCTGTCGGGGATTAAACCCTGGTGTCCAGTCCATAGTCAGTCACTATACTGACTGAGCTATGCCGGCTCCTTGTGATTTCTTGTGCCCCTTGGAAGTAGAAGTAGCATTGAAATATATATCAACACAGTAACAAATAACATTACACTGTGCACACTGCAAATATTCCACTTCTGAAATCAGAGTATGAAGAGACAAGAATACAACTTGTAATAAAGACAGCTGTCTTCTGAGAGGTAGCTCTGTGTAGTCTGGTTGTTAATGGTTGACTTTCCAAAAAAACTTACTGCCTTTTAATAACTGAATCAACAAGCTCCTCTGAAACTAGAATCAGTCAGTATCTACCACACGTCACAGTGCTACAGCCCAGAAGACAGCCATCTTCATTCTCGCCATGAAAACCTCAAACCTCAACTTCTAATGAGCACAAGAAATATGCGCACCACTTTAATAAATGGCCATAATAACCTTGAATCCATTTAAACATCTCTCATCATTCACTAAAGTGACATTTAGAGGGACTTGACAGCGAATGAGCAAGCAGTGTGTGAAAGCTTCCATGCAAAAATATTAAATGAACCAGTGGTGTCATACTTGTCTGCAATCAATGATATTATACTAAGTCATTGGGTAATTATAATTACCCAATGACATAGTACCCACATCTTTGCCAGGAGTTTCCAAAGTCTGTTCTTCCCTCAGATGAAAGGTAGAGGGCTTGATAGTACTACAAGAGTTGTAAGGAAATGGCATTTAATTACTGAATGCAAAGGCAAGTGAATGTAATTACATATTTTTGTGAATTTCTGTAAAGTCCAAACAACTTAAATAGTTCAGGACAAAAAAAGAAAATCAGAATTATTAACACTACAAAAACAGGTTAACAGAAAACCAATATTAAAATCATGTACCATGTTACTAATGAAGATTAAACTGTTTCTGAAGGATTCTAATGATGGCGCAATATAACCTGGATAATCCCTCAGATGACGGACAAAGTCTGACAACCCAACAATCCAGATCAAGATTAAAATGCTTGCCACATTTTTTTAAAATTCTCCAATATCAGATTCCATCAAGATCAGTTCAACCAGTATCAAGTTGAAGATTTCTGTCTTCTGGGTTGTTGCGCTGTGTAATCTGGTCGATGTTTTCATCGCCCTGATGACGGAGGCAGTATGACCTCTGAAATGTTGGTAAACATCGACCAGACTACACAACGCAACAACCCAGAAGACAGAAATCTTCATACTCACCGCTGTGAAAACCTGAAATCTTACATAGTACCAAGTTGTTTCATGCATATGGACAGCCCTACTAACAGACAGAGTGACAAATAGGTGGAATGATTGTAACAGGTGCTCCATGGGGCTGCATGTGCTTAAAAAAGTAATTTATTCCTTTTATTGGTGGCACATTTAATTCCATTTTTTAGTCCCTAAAATACAAAAACCTGATCGTCAAAAACTCTCTGGCTCCTAAATTATTTAACTAGATCCTAGTTCGAAGAAAAAATTGTCATGCCCTGACCCTCACCCATGACTGCAATAGTAACGCAACAATCTGATGCTTTATGGAAGTCGCACAGATGCACAGATAAACTGCTCAACATTTAGTAGAATTCAGATATGCCATGAGGTTTGTCAAACCCCATCACTTCAATGACATGACAAATGGAATTACGTCACCTTTAGCTCAAAGATGGGTGTGTCAATAGTTTCAGCTCCATGACGCTTGAATACAGAGATGATTTTGTTGAACACATCTGCTCGGATGGCCATCTGGGAAGGTCCATAATCGCGTGTACCCTTTGGAGTCTTAAGGATGAGCTTGTGAGGTCCAGAACCATCTTCCACAGTTCCCAACTGTGCCTTCAGGTTAAGCAGATGACTCACTTCTTCTGTTATCTGAAACATTATAACCATCCAAGGGGCTACAACTACATAAAATAGTTTATGACAGGCCAGAGAAAAAGTAAGTGCGCTGGGGCAGTGATTCTCAGTTTCACAATACAATTCCTCTCATGGCACTTTCATCTCAAATGCCAATCCAAACAAGTTGGAAATGATGTCAAAGTAACAAACTAACTAACTAGATGGCTTAGGGAACCTGAAGGTTCATCAGCAAATTAACCAAGGCCCCGAAAGGTCCATCCTGGGCCAACAAAATCCAATCTCCTTCAACTCCTATCTCCCGTAGATCCCACCTGAGATTATCCTCCCATCTACGTCTAGGTCTCCCCAGCGGTCTCTTCCCCTCAGGCTTCCCAACCAACACCCGGTGCACACCTCTTGTCCCATCCATGCACGCTACATGCCCAGCCCATCTCATTCTTCTCGACTTAATAACCCTGACAAATTGGGGGAGGAGTACAGATTTTTAAGCTCGTCATTGTGCAGTTTTCTCCACGCCCCATCGTCTTCCCTCTTAGGCCCAAATATCCTCCTCAACCCCCGATTCTCAAACACCTGCAATCTGTGTTCCTCCCTCTGAGTGAGAGACCATGTTTCGCACCCATACAAAACAACAGGCAAGATTATTGTTTTGTATACTTTAATTTTCAGGTTCTTAGAAATCAGACGGGAAGACAAAATATTTTGGACTGAGAAGTAGCGAGCATTTCCGGAATTTAGTCTCCTCCTAATTTCCTGATTTGTTATTGTTGTTCCCAAACATTTTAACTCTGTCACACTTCCAAAGGATTTAATAGCCACCCTAATATGATTTTTCCTGCCTGTCTGCTGGTAGCCAAAAAAACAAGGTAGCTTTGAGTTTTCCCACCCAGTCACTTCTAGGCCAGAAATGCATGTAGCCCTTGACATGAAATACCCATCGTTAATTTCAATATTAACCAAAACTGGAATGTTGACAAATTTTAATGAAATTCCACAAATGCCAAATTTCATGAAACTCCATTCATCCATTTCTGAGTTGTTACACACAAACAGATGGATCGACAGATAAATATATGATGGGTGTAATTCTGCAACTTTCAGCTGTGAACATACCTAAAAATGGTTCCTAAAACAGATCCTGTCCAAACACAAATGCTGTGGTCCCTTGCCTATTAAAATTAAAAGTGAACTGACCATAACAAGTCAGCAAAACTAAAAATTCAGATATCCTAACAATAATCAGTCTGCTAGAATCTGTCCGCTGTGGAAACCTGGACCACAGCCAAGTTTCAGTTTTGGTGCAAACACGGACAACAAGACTTTTGAGTGGATTCTGACTGCACCGTACAGCCTGCAAAATGCTATCATCAGCAGTTGAAGGTCTTCCAATGTTTTGGAAAACATCTTCAGGGTGAATACCTGTTGTGAGGTTAGGAAGCCTTTATAAAAATCTGGCAGTGGGAGGTAAACAGCATGACTGGACAATCAGGGTGCTGTTCTATCGGGAAGGAGCAAGCAGTACAGGAAAATAGGTAATAAAAAGGTTTAGCACTCACATATTTAGGAAAAGGCGAAATGAGAAAGTTTCGGTGATCTCATGGTTCACTAGAGAGATGATAAAAAATGTTAACAACCACACGGTCAGGGAAAGAAATGCAGACAAGTTTGTGCAAGTGTGGTCTTGCCTTTTCTCTTTCACTTCTTCATTTTATCCTTTTTATCCTATTTCTTTCTGCCATCACCTTTTTTATCAAACTAAACTTTTAATCACATCTTTTCCTGAACTGCATGGTCACTCACCACTTTTTCATCACTGCTTTTCAAAATCACATAGTTGCTAGAAGTATTTTCCTACACCATGTGGTTAATCCCCACTGGAAACAACTACTCTGCTCATCCAAACATGACATAGCTCTCATTCAACTGCAAGATCATTACAAGGGCTTCCCAACCAAACACCACGGATATTCACACTGACGGCGGCAGCTGTAATGTTTGCTAAAATGGAAAACCCTCAGCGACTGACAAGGCTTGGCCCCAGGAGGTGCATTAGAAGAGGGAGGGCCTTCCAAATTTTATTAAATGTGGTTTAAAAAATATCATTCCTTGTTGTGACCTTTCCTGTATGTATTTTCATACAATCATGTGGTCATTTAACTGAATGATGGACACAAAGTAACTAGAAACCCTCCCTTTGAAACATTAAGTAAAAGCATATCCCGAGCACATGCACATATACAAGTCCTATTACAAACATAGTCTAAACATCAGCAGGTGGTTCCAATTTATAGCACCCAGCATATAAACGGTTGTCATTAAACTATTTCTACGTTCCCCCTATTGTCCACTTCTGCACACACACACACACCTTGCTACTGACCTGTGGTCTGGCAGTGATGGACAGACAGCGCCATACCGGCAAGTGAAAGAGGAAAGGCTTGAGCCGCAATGCACCACCACCCAACATCACTGCAAAGGAGTTATGAAACAGGACCAAATATTTTCTCAGCAACACTGCCTCATTCAGAGAAAAGCACGAAAGAACTGAGTGAGTAATCTACACTACAATGGGGAATTCCTATACATTTCTGTGAGACATATGGAGATGAGACTGTGCATTGCTTTCTCACATTATTTAAAATCGCTTAATTAATGGCAGCGTGTTCAAAGACAGTTGAACAATCGGAGAGAAAAACAGTCATATCTCCAACAAAGCACAACAAATATAGGGGCATTTGGATGCGCATATCACATCAATAACCAATGTGGATCAAGTTCTTCTTTGATAAATTTATAGTTATTCAGCTGATCAAGGAATTCTGTCATTATAAAACCAAACGACTGATCACTACATCACAAAAGCCTGACACTTAACCACATCCTGGGTCAGTTAAATCCAGTTAAGATGTGCAGGATCTTCATCTCTGAGACCCATTTCAACGCTACCCTCCCATCATGCGTGGCTTATCTTGCAAGAATCTGTTAGTGTATTTAAAGATTTTAAATGCATGTTATGTGCCCTAAATTTAAATAAGTGAACAATATTAGGTGAAGAAAACAAATTATGAGATTCACTGTGTATCAGTCCCATCATCATCTATTTAAATCATTATCTGGTGGTAGCAAAAGTGAGGGAGCGGCTTTCAGTAAGTAGACGAACTAAACAAAATTTTGACACAGAAAGATTTGATTTGAAAAAATTAAGTGACGGAGAGACAAAGCAAAAACATTCCAGTTCAGGGAAATTGTCCTCATGGGAGACAGCGTTTTTGTAAAATTTCCAAAAAAAAATATGTATATGCCATGTGCTGTTCGTAACAACTGTGGAGCTGACAGCTGAAGTTAGTTGTGTCCGGTATGAAGATGTTACCTCAGACTCAGAGGAGAGAGAAGAAAATATTTCCGCTGCTGTTTATCGCATATAGTGACGTGTCCAGACAAGTCTCTTTCCAGAAAATGCCCCCCCCCCCCACCCCCCCCACAC